CCCCGCCTTGTTGTTTGCACGCCCATTTCCCTTTCCCGATCGTCTGAATCTTGGACCCGTCTTGCGCCACCTCTCGCGCCTTTTCTCTTCTCACCCTCTGAGTCTGGCGAACGACGCCCGGTCGATCCCCCGATAACTCCCGCTCACCAATCAGGCGCGTGGATTGATAGGACCTTCCTATCGTGCGACGAATCTGATTGGTTGAACCTTGAGTTCCGAGGGATCAATATGGCGTTCGTAAAGCATTCTTCTAAAAGTCTTCTCCTCCTGCTTCTCCTCTTACACCTCAACTTTCTTGTCGCCTTCTCCCCCTTCTATCTCCCCTGTCGCAACTATAAAACCCGGAAGCGCATCCGCAAATCTCTCTTACGTTCTCGACTCCTAAGCCAGCTTCCGAGAAGCTGTGGCTAGGCAGAGTGTGTTGATGCGAGTCGGAAAGTCCTGTCGGGTTGACGATAGGCTGGTCGGTTGCACGCTTGATCGCCACGACGGACCGTGGGATCCGGGCGAACCGTGTCGAGCTTACGACAGCGGGGTGACGATCGCTGTGGTGGGAGTTAGCACGTGACGGCCGGGATCGTCGGTGTGGGTATGAGGTTCGATGATTGGAGTTGAGTGAGTGATTGGCCCGGGGCCATATTGGAATTAACGGCGAATGCGCCTTTGTTGCTGTGGATCTTTACCTTTGGCGTGAGTGCATGGTGGTCATGTCGAATGTCTCTCTCCCAGATCTGGTCATCACCTATCTCTACTCTCTCGCGCCTGACGAGATTTGATACGAAAACGAGATACGCGAAGCGTGCCCAAGCCTTTCTGTTCTAAACGACAGGCTGTAGCCCGGTGGGAGGCACGACAATACTTTTTGGATTGAATTTGAATCTTTCCCTCTCTTCCCGCTTTACCGCGCGCGCATTTTGCGACGCGCGAAAACGATCGACTTGCTCCATCGGACCAACACGGGGGATTTCAGTTCCGTCTGTGTCCCCACACTCAATTTCCAAAAATCCTTGGCACACCCCATCTTGCTGTTTTTCTGGGCCTCTTTTCCGCACAGCTAACACTCCGAACGAAAGACAGCACAGGGCGTGAGGCCTGCACGTCACACGCGAGAGGGAGCGATGCGGGGGGGGGGCAGAGGGGAGAGAGCTTTTGCGTTCGTGGCACCGTCAACAAAAAGAGAGAAAAAGGCACCGAAACAGTTACAGCTTGCTTCTATCCTAATTCAAAATTGAAATCACCATATCCGCGCGCGAAAGAGCGACGCGGGAAAAGAAAATCCTATGCCTATTCGTATTCGCACAAAATTCCGAGAGTTTTCCCCGACGCGACCAAGAACATTCACACACACGAAAAGGACACGTCGACGTTCCGCTTATCCCGGAATTCCCAACTGCCGAGCCCAATTCCCAGTGCGCTTGCTAAGGCGCACGTAATTTCCTATGTATTTCCCGAATTGCAGAAAGGAAAAGCAGAACCCGGGAGTCGAAAAAGCTTCCGAAAGATGGGAGCCAAAAACGCGGTACCCAAAATCAAGAAAACGAAATGGGGTTTTTATGGGGTTGGTATGATACAAGCAAAAAAAAAGGGTACGAAAGATAGCACGGGTTCGGGAAGTGGTTCGTCACACTTACAGAATCCTCATCAGGTTCTACTATTCCAGGTTTGATTCCATTTGGAAGAGTTCCTCCCTGGAAGCACTTCGATTGTAGCTCTCTGATTCGTTGTTTTCCATCGTCTGGCCATGGGTTGATGTGGTCCGTACTACTGGAATAGACGAACTCCATACGCAGTCTTAGGTCCTTCGTCCCTCAATAGACGAACTCCACACGCAGTCTTAGGTCCTTCGAATAAACTGGTCTTCCAGCCTCCTTCATCCCTCTTGGAACTAAGGCTGAGTACCTCTCCCCGCGTTCTTTCCTGAAACTTCGAGATACCAGGGGATTACCGAGGACGAGGATGTGCCCCGTTGTCCTGTTGTGGGTGATGGAGTCGTGGGCCCGGGCCTAACCTGCACGGCCCCCAAGAGCCTCCTCTCCTCGACAGGTAACTTAGCGCTTCGTCTTTAGCCGTATTTCTTTTTTACGCACGACTACCCGGTAGGTAGTAGAGAGTTACGCTCCTTTCGCATTTTCTTCGGAAATTGTCAAAATTTCGTTCACAAAAGTTCTTACACAATTTGTGGATGGGTCCTTCGGGACATCCGAACCAATCACACTTTGTTTTGTGAGGAGAATAGTTCTGAAACGATACAGAGAAGATTAGCATGGCCCCTGCGCAAGGATGACACCATAAATCGAGAAATGGTACAATTTGTGGATGGCGCCGTGTGACCAACCAAGTATCAAATCCCCCTTTCTCTAGCGGATTTGGGATCGCAGTGTGAGTATGCCCTAAGGTGGGGCGTAACACCCCCTCCAAAAGCAGTTTGCATGCCCAATGTCTGTGGAGGACGTACGATCTCATTGTTACAAGGACGCAGCGCGCAGCGAAAGCTGCACGTATTGCGTCAGTGTTCGATGCGCGCGGGCCGCGATTCACGATCCACTGGCGGGAAGAAGATCCCGTCCGAGTTATTTTTTGGCGGCTGTCCTTGTGTTTTGGCGGTGAGCTGTCGGCGGGAGAGCTTTCGGCGGGGCCATCGACGCGAGGCGAACCCCATCCACCACCACTCTCCCTCTCACCCTACCTATCATTTGTTTGTCGGTCGCGCCTTCTCGAGCTGAATCTTCCCACCCGCCGTGGAGGCGCCGCAAACCGCGGACCGCGGACGCACGGTGCGGGTTGCGCTTCCGAACCCTGTCTTTTTCTCTCTTTCCGCCGCTTCGGCTCTCTTGCCTTGGTTAGCGGTTTTCCGTTCGGACTGTCATCCGCCTAGTCGAGTCGACTGTCTTGCATACAGCAGCAGCTATGGCGGCCGCACTGTCGTTGTCGTCGATAGTCTCACGTATGGGCGCGGTGGTGATGGCTGCGCCATCTCCGTCGAGTAGCAACGCATATAGGAGCGCTCCTGCTGATGGACACGTGGCGTCTGCTGTCCAAGTCATTGGAAGCGATCTCAAGAGGCACCGATTCGTACCTGTGCAGCGGCGAGCACCTCTCTCTTTAATTGTCCGCGCCACTTCCCCGGTACGTCGCTCTCACTGACTGTCTGTCTTCGCCTGACAAATGGCGTTGGCGTGGAGAGTGACCGCTCACCTTGTTCTTTTTCTTTCCTTCTCGGGGTCCCAAGCGTGTCCTGTGACCGGCTCAGTTCTCTTCGCATCTGCTTTTTTTTTTTGCGCTTTCCCCCTTCTTTGTGACCTAACCTATATTCTTCTCTCCAAACCACCTTTTCACTCGTACGATTCTTCTCTCAAATCAAATCACCTTTTCACCGCTATTCGTCTTTCAAAATCGCTTTTTCACTACTGAGGACCCTGCAAGCATAGCTACTTCTCACAATCAAGGAGATGCATGTTGCCCCCTACTTCTCATAAACAAGGAGATGCATGTTGCCCCCCCCCCCTTCTCCCCCCGTCCCCCGCCACCTTCCCCCGGTGTTTGGTTTTGACGGTCGAGCCAAAAAAATGTTCTTTGGTTTCCCTGCAGCCCAGTTAATCACGTTGGCAACTTGGCGCTAACCTGAGTGTTGTGACTGTTGTCGTCATGGATAAATGACGAAGAGGGAGGAGTAGACATACCTCTCTGTCGTTTCCTGGTGTTTTCTTCCTTCCTTTTTCCTTTCCTTAAATTGACGAAGAGGGAGGAGTAGACGTGCCTCTCTGTCGTTTCCAGGTGTTTTCTACCTTTTTCCTTTCCTTCAATTTTCCTTGGCTTCTGACATGTGCCCGGTGAACTTTTCATATCCGCTGTTCCTTACGTCGCCAACTAGCAATCGCCCCTTTCTCGCGCTCTCTCTCTCGGTGGCTCACTTTCTCACGTAAAAACGTGAAAACAATGAGAGAAAAGTGTGCGGTTCCTGTGGAGTATCTGTCAACATAAGTACTACCTCCTTTCCATTGCACGCGTCTATTTTCAACCGTTCAAGCTGTGGGCGGGTGCGCGCATGTCCGTGTGCCGGCGTGTTTGCATGTGTGACACTGTGGTTGTTTCGTTTCTCTGTGCGCTTTGTCATGCCCGTACACACAACTCTACAAAGAGAAATATGACTGTGCAAACCTGTTTCATCGGAGTTTCACCCACTCATCAGGAGCTGAATCCCCAACTCTCTGCCCGGATGCATTTGGCTGATGGATAAGGACTCACCACGTCGCCCAGAGTTAGTGATACCCCCGAGAAAACTGGTCGACTCTACTCTGTGTGTGTGTGTGTGTGTGTGTGTGTGTGTGTGTGTGTGTGTGTGTGTGTGTGTGTGTGTGTGTG